TGGTAAGTAAGGGCTTCCCTAGAGACTCAGAGAGTAAAGAATCCATCTGCAGTGCAGGAGACCCAGGTTTCATCCCTGGGTCAGGAAGAGCCCCTGGAGAAGGGGATGAGTACCCACTCCACTATTCTTGCTTAGAGAGTTCCATTGACAGAGGATCCTGGCAGGCCACAGTCCATGAGGTCACAAAGAGTCTGATATGACTGAGTGATGAACACTTACTTAACTTACTTAACTACGGAAAGTAAATGTAATGGGTTTAAAGTATTAACATATAAGAATACCTTAGTTAGGCAAGAAACTCATTGACTAGATTTGGGGATAAAGTCTAGATAGTTTATGGCTGCAGAGAGAACTCACTAGAACAGCATACAGCCAGAGGAGCAGAGGACACATAGGTGGAAGGGGTGGGGAATCACAAGGAGGGCAGGGCCCACAGAGGCCAGAGAAATGAAAAACACCAAACATAACTAGCTCTGGACTGATCTCGGAGGGATTCCCAGCTCAAGGGCAGGATCCTAACACAAGAGTACCTTAAAAATGTATATGTGTGCAAGGGTGGGGGATGCTTGTGTGCATGGGTACAAGGAGGGATGGAACAGAGTCTTGGCGTTTAGTAGGTTTTCTCTTAGCCTGTTAGAAGTGGCAGGCAGAGTTAAGATTAAAGTGATCCTCAGTTACATTTGTAAGCAGTTTTTAATTTTTCTTTATAAATATTTCAGTAAAGAAAAGAAAACATAACTCACTGCCCCACACACACACATTCAATTTTTGAGATTACATCCATGAATTATTGAAGAAATGGAATTGCTAGGCCATAGTTCACTTTGTAAGTTTTTCTTTTTCATTCTTTATAAAATTTTCTCAATTGGTTTCTGTAAAGCTTCTAGCAAATAAGACTTCTACCAGTAATAGATTTGACCTTCTTCTTTAATCATACTGACATTATCAGAAATATTAAAAGGAAAACATTCTTTGATAGGTGACTAAATCAATGTTATTCTGGTTTACATTGGTTTGATTAATACAGAAAGTGCATATTTTCTTACAATTATGTACTGATTTTAGTTTTTAATTTTATATTAATATTCTTGGCTTATCTGTCAAATGCATGAATGATGCATTTGTGCAGTAGTGCTGCAGTTCATGGGGTTGCAAATAGTCAACATGACTTAGTGACTGAATAACAAAAACATAAGGGACAAAACTAAGTGACTATTTCTTTTAAGATGTATGTATCAGTTTGCTTAGGGTCGTCCTACGGAAATATCACAGGTTAGGTGGATTAAATTTTATTTTCTCACTGTTCTGGAGGCTGGGATTCTAGGATGAGGTATCAGCAGGTTTGACTTCTTCTGAGGCCTACTCCTAGCCTTTCTGGTGCTGCTGCTAAGTAACTTCAGTTAGGCCTGACTCTTTGCAGTCCCATGGTCTGCAGCACGCCAGGCTTCCCTGTCCTCCACCATCTCCCAGAGCTTGCTCAATCTCATGTCCATTGAGTCAGTGATGCTGTCCAACCATCTCTTCCATGCCGTCCCCTTCTTGTCCTGTCTTCAATCTTTCCCACCATCAGGGTCTTTTCCAAGAAGTCAGATCTTTACATTGGGTGGCCAAAATATTGGAGTTTCAGCTTCACCATCAATCCTTCCAATGAATATTCAGGACTGATTTCCTTTAGGATTGACTGGTTTGATCTCCTTGCAGTCCAAGGAACTCTCAAGGGTCTCCTCCAACATCACAGTTTGAAAGCATCAGTTCTTCAGCGCTCAGCCTTCTTTATGGTCCAACTCTCACATCCATACATGGCTACTGGAAAAACTATAGCTTTGACTATACGGACTTTTGTTGTCAAAGTAATGTCTCTGCTTTTTAATATGCTGTCTAGGTTTGTCATAGCTTTTCTTCCAAGGAGCAAGTACCTTTTGATTTCATGGTTGCAGTCACCATCTGTAATGATTTTGGAGCCCAAGAAAATAAAATCTGTTACTGTTTCCATTGTTTCCCCATCTATTTGCCATGAAGTTATGGGACTGGATGCTATGCTCTTAGTTTTTTGAATGTTAAATTTTAAGCCAGCTTTTTCACTGTCCTCATTCACCTTCATCAAGAGACTCTTTAGTTCCTTTTGCTTTCTGCCATAAGGGTGGTGTCACCTGCATATCTGAGGTTATTGATATTTCTCCTGGCAATCTAGATTCCAGTTTATGCTTCATGTATCCCGGAATTTCACATGATGTACTCTGTATATAAGTTAAATATGCAGGGGCCAATATACAGTCTTGATGTACTCCTTTCCATTTTAAACCACTCTGTTCTTCAATGTCTGGTTCTAACTGTTGTTTCTTTTCCTTCATATAGATTTCTCAGGAGGCAAGTAAGGTGGTCTGGTATTCCCATCTCTTTAAGAATTTTCCACTGTTTCTTGTGATCCACACAAAGGCTTTAGTGTAGTCAGTGAAGTAGAAGTAGAAGTTTTTTGGAATTCTCTTGCTTTTTCTATGATCCAACAGATGTCGGCTTGCAGATGGTCAAATCCTCTCCATGTCCTCACAGGTTACCCCTCAGTCTGTATGTTGTTCGTGTTCTAATCTTTTCTAATAAGATCACCAGTAATATGGGATTAGGGGCACACAAATGGCCTTTTATCACCTTAATTACCTCTTTAAACCTTCAAAACCAATCGCATTCTGAGGTGTTGGGCCAGGTTAGGACTTCAACATGGATTTTGTAGAGACACAGTTCAGCTTATAATATTCAAATGCTGAAAGACAGAATTTACATTGCGAGACAAGTAGAGGATATTTTTTGTTCAGTTTTCTTGAAGAGGTTTTTAGACAAGGAAGTTAAAATAATATTTGTCTGTGGGACAGTTGATCCTAACAACATTCTTTAAGGTTGAGAGAAAAAATGGAGATGAGTGATCAGCCAGAAGACTCAGAAGAGCCTAGGACGGAAACCTTGAGGTTCTAAGCAATGTTGTAACCAGTCGACAACATGAGATGACCGTTCAAGTGGCATTTTCAGATTCTTTGACAAGTTATTTACAACCTCTCCAACAAGAAAAAGTCTGGATGAAGCAATAAAACCTTTGGTTATAACAACAGTGATATGAGGGAGGGGCAATGTTCTAAAGAACCCCCACTGTTCTGGATCTTCTCAGCCCCACCCCATCAGAGCCCCCTCTCTCTCTTAAGGAGTGTTGCCTCAGTTTGCCTTCAGCAGCTGCCTAAATTCAACTGACAGAAGCTCTATGCCTGGGAGTTGACAATTGAAATGCAGGTTTATATCTGCATCCTAACTGGAAGTTGAGGCTCTGAGGTTACTCACAGATGGAGAGATACTAAGTGTCAAGGCCTGGATTTGATTGAAGCCTCTGGGTGACAATACTTATCCTGTTGCAGTGAACTTTGGATTTAGGAAGCATTCATATCTGAACATTTTTTTTGTTTTTCAAAGTTCATACTAAGTTAACTGAGATGCTGATAAGATGGCCCATGGGTAACAGCATTGCTGCCCCCGCCAGTGAGATGTGGAAGCTCTGAAGCACCTACTCCTTGTCCCCACCATAAGGTTAAGATTCGTTCTAATAAATCTTTAAGCACAAATAATCGTTTAAGAGTTGCGCGGCGCCTTGCCGCCGGTGGACTTGCGAGCCGTCTGCTTAGTCCGCGCCATTGGTAAGTAGTGTCAACTACCTAACACTGATGGGAGCACTTGGTCGTCCCAAAATATATAGCGAACCTCGCGTTTTGATTGGACAATAGACTGCTGCCTCCCCGCCCTTCCACGCCCATTCTTTTTGGGTTTAGGACGTATTGTCCCGCCTCTACTTCAGACCCTAGGATTATGTGGTGAGGGAGGAAATATCTTGTTGGCTTTCAAAGAAAAAAAAAAGCCTGCAGGATGTATCCAAATTCCTAAACTTATCTTCTAGAGCAGGGGTCCCCAACCCCCGGGATCTAATTGGTGATCTGAGGTGGAACTGATGAAATAAAAGTAAGGATAAAGTGTGCTAGTCTCTCAGGAGTGTCCGGATCTCTGGTCCCATGGACTAGGCTACCAACCTCCTCTGTCCATGGGATTTTCCAGGCAAGAATACTCAAGTGGTTTGCCGTTTCCTCCTCCAGAGAAATAAAGTGCACAGTAAATATTCGTCGCTCTTCGGTTACTCAGCCGTGTCCTACTCTTTGCGACCCCATGGGCTACAGCATGCCAGGCTTCGCTGTTCTTCACTGTCCTTTGGAGTTTGCTCAAACTCATGTCCGTTGTCAGTGATACCATCCAAACATCTCATCTTCCGTCGCTCCCTTCACCTCCTGCCTTCAATCTTTCTCAGCATCAGGATCTTTTCCGATGGGTGGGCTCTTCGCATCACGCGGCCAAATTATTGGAGTTTCTAAAGGAGCTTAAATCATCACGAAACCATCCCCCCACCCAAGCGCGTGGAACTGTCTTCCACAAAACCGGTCGCTGCCGCCGAAAAGGTTGGGGACAGCTGGCCTAGAGAATCTCCAAGCGTCTTGTGTTTTAGATATAGGATGTTATGATTGACAAGTTTGAATAACATGAAAGGAGTGTTAGGTGGAGGCAATGAAGTTAGTTTAAATCAACCCAGCCACCACGTTCTGTCCCAGAGCTCTGAAAGATTAAGAATCTAATAGCTTAGTAAAGCGAGGGTTGGTTACCTTTTCCCTTAAAACGACTTAATAGTTTAGTTATTGCTAGCCTTACTGCTTGTGATGCTACTTTATCCTTGAAGTGAGAGCAGTCAACACAAGGTTATTGTGCCTGGCTTACAGGAACACAGGAAACCATGTCAAACTAAAATCCGCCACTGCTGGTAAAATACTAGAGAACTGAAAGTTGTGACCACTCAAATTATAAGTATAATAAGTTAATGCTCCCCACACAACCTAACGGCTTTAGCGCCTACAGCTCGTTTATTAGAGTTAGTGGGTGGCCCTAAAAAGGGCCTTTAAGAAAATGAACAAGCGAGTACAACTTTAACCGCCGAAGCCGTAAAGGGTACGTCCCTGGCGCTTAAGCGCGTAAACCACATCCATGGCGGTGACAGTTTTGCGCTTGGCGTGCTCCGTGTAGGTGACAGCGTCCCGGATCACATTTTCCAGAAACACCTTCAGCACCCCGCGGGTCTCTTCATAGATGAGACCGGAAATACGCTTTACGCCACCACGACGAGCCAGACGACGAATAGCGGGTTTGGTAATACCCTGAATGTTGTCGCGCAGAACCTTGCGGTGGCGCTTAGCACCCCCTTTCCCGAGGCCCTTACCACCTTTACCACGACCAGACATATCTGCAAGTCGAGTCTCTATAGACAGTTACCGTGCCAAGGCGGTGTTTTATATAGTGATGTTTCGGACCTGATTGGGAACGACCAGGCTAGCCGTGACGCCCCTAGGCGTGTCCAGACCCGAAGCCCCGCCCACATTTTTCAGCAAAAGGGAAAGAGAGGTGCTTAAAATACAGTCCAAAAAAGGGCCTAATAAAAATTCCTCCGTTTAGCTTCTACAAAACATTGTGTTGCCCTTGTCCACAGCTGGAAAACCATTCCTTTGTTTGGGGTAGGCCTTGCTGTCCCTTTCTCTTTTTTGCTCTCTTAGGCAATCATGGTCCGAGCGAGTTGTGGCTTCCGGAATGAATGGATCATCTGGAGAGCAGTGAACTGTAGTCTTTTGGGGGTTTTTTTGAAACCTCGTGGCTTGAGAGTCTGACTATAACTAGCTTCAGGGTGGGCTTCCTCATCGTTCTCAGTGGTGGTCTCCCCTTTTCCTTACCTTTTACTCATCCTATCATCTTCCTTTCCCTTCCCTCGCTGCCACACTTTTGCTGGTAGAACTGGCTTTTTCAAATTTTCTTCGTTTCACTTAGAAACAATTCAGGAAATTGAGGAAGCTCAGCTTTTACCCGCCATTTCCTCTGGTGAGTCCATGAACAAGTGAAAATCCCTCTCAGGGACTCCTTTCTTGCCCCTACTCCACCCCCTCCCCCGCCCCGCCATCACCACCTTCCTCTTTATCTCCTTTGTTGAACTGAGAAATCAAGTGCACCCCAAAGTTCTGTGCTTTTAATAGTGTCTTTAATAAAGTGCTGAATGTAAAGACCAGGAAGGATTTTATTCCAGGAATTTAAAAAATAAAAGACTTTCAAAGGCTGAATGATAAGTGGTTTCCTTGACTCCTGGATATTTGAAATGACCTTTCAGGCCCTGACTTGTCTGCCAGGTAGCAGATTTCATTTCTCCGGGAAAATGCCTTCTCTAACGAATAACACATTTACTTTTTCTCTTTTTCCGACCTTCAGTAATGTTTACCCTTTCTATTTCAAATGTGTGTGGTTGATTATTTACTCCTTGAACAAATACCTAATATTCTCCAAGTACTTTATATATACTATATGTGCAAAAGACTGCATGCCCATCTTCTATTAGTTAATCCATTCCTTACTGAGCTACTTCTCTGGCTTTCTTCTTCTTCCTGCTCCTATTTAGTAATGAAATCTGAGTGCTTAACCTTGAAGATGTTATTGGGTGGGTAATCTCAACAATCCTCTTCCCTTGCAACTATAGAAAAACCAGGTAGCTTCCTGCCTCATTACCAGCAGTTGTTGAAGAGGGTGTTTGCTATGACCAGTGTGTTCTCTGGGCAAAATTCTGTTAGCCTCTTACCTGCTTTTTTTTGTACTCCAAGGCCAAATTTGCCTGTTACTCCAGGTATCTCTTGACTTCCTACTTTCACATTCCAGTCCCCTATAATGAAAAGGACCTCTTTTTGGGGTGTTAGTTCTAGAAGGACTTGTAGGTCTTTGTAGAACCATTCAACTTCAGCTTCTTCAGCATTACTGGTCGGGGCATAGACTTGGATTACTGTGATATTGAATGGTTTTCCTTGGACATGAAGAGATCATCCCGTCATTTTTCAGACTGCATCCAAGTACTGCATTGCAGACTCTTGTCAACTATGATGGTTACTCCATTTCTTCGAAGGGATTCTTGCCCACAGGAGTAGACATAATGGTCATCTGAGTTAAATTCACCCATTTGAGTCCATTTTAGTTCACTGATTCCTAAAATGGCTACGTTCACTTTTGCCATCTCCTGTTTGACCACTTCCAATTTGCCTCGATTCATGGACTTAACATTCCAGATTCCTATGCAGTATTGCTCTTTACAACATCCAACTTTACTTCCATCACCAGTCACATCCGCAACTAGGTGTTGTTTTTGCATTGGCTCCGTCTCTTCATTCTTTCTGGAATTATTTCTCCACTGATCTTCAGTAGCATATTGGGCACCTACTGACCTGGGGAGTTCACCTTTCAGTGTCCTATCTTTTTGCCTTTTCATACTGTTCATGGGGTTCTCAAGGCAAGAATACTGAAGTAGCTTGCTATTCCCTTCTCCAGTGGACCACATTTTGTCAGAACTCTCCACTATGACTCATCCATCTTGGGTGGCCCTATATGGCATGGCTCATAGTTTCATTGAATTAGACCAGGGTGTGGTCCATGTGATCAGATTGGTTAGTTTTCTGTGATTGTGATTTTTCCCTTCCGTCTGCCCTCTGATAGATAAGGATAAGAGGCTTAAGGAAGCTTCCTGATGGGAGAGACTGACTGAGGGGGAAACTGGATTTTATTCTGATGGGCAGGGCCATGCTCAGTAAATCTTTAATCCAATTTTCTGTTGATGGCAGGGCTGTGTTCCCTCCCTGTTGTTTGACCTGAGGACATGTTTCTCCTTCTTAACAAGAACCTTCCAACTAGTCTTACTGATTTAAGATGTATGTTGTGGGAGTGGGTCTGGTAAAAGTATATAAGGCCTTGATAAGACTAGCAAGTGGGGCACTCTCTGCCTGCTTCTGATGGCTATGTCAGAAGCGTTCTCTTTCCTTTTTCACTGTAATAAAACTTCTGCCACACAAAAGCTCTGAGTGATCAAGCCTGGTCCCTGGTCTTGAAGCTAATTCTTCGGAGATCGCAAATCCAAGATTGTTCACCATAAGCTATCATTATTGTTCTTGCATTGTTCTTCATTCAAAGTTAGTTTATTTACTAGTAATTAGTGCCTTTCCTAATTCTCATTTCTCCTGTCCTCCAGACACATATATATTTACACATAAACACACAAAGACACATGCAGACATACACTAATCCAAAACTAGCCCTTTGGAGTGTTTTCCACTCCATGAGCTTAACTTCTCAAATCTTTTCTTCCATTCCATACAGTCTTGCTTCTCAACACAGTTGGCCTTTTACCAAGTCAGAATCTTAAATATGAGACAGGCAAGCACAAAATTTTCCTTCTTCCTTGGTCCTACCCCAGAGCAATAACCATCCTTGCTTTCATTCTCAAAGGTTCCTCAAGCATCTATGCCTCCATGTACTATTTCAGTTAAAGAAATTTGAGGATGTAGACTCTACTGGCTCCTTCACCTTATTACACCTTCTATTATTTATTTTTTTGCCCTGCATTTTTTGGGATCTTATTTGCCTCAGCAGGGATCAAACCTGAGCCACAGCAGTGAAAGCACCAAATCCTAACCACAGAGCTACCAGTGAAGTCCCCACTCTGCCCTGCTCTAGTCTGCTCATGACTTGAAGCCAGAAATGCAAAACCCTTTAAGAAACCCCTTACTTTCTCCCAAGGCTCTCTCAAGTCCTAAATGTATTCTCTAATATACACGGCTGTTCATGCCTAACCCTCTCTCCTTGTTTTGCCTTACCTTGTTTCCAAAATTCTGTAATACAATGTGACCAATGATGGTCTTCATAGTCCCTTCTGTCTCCTGATTTAATCACTTTTCATGCCTAAATATATCAGATAATAACTGCCAGACACTCTGATTCCCTTTCATTCACTTCACCTTACTAGCATCTCCAGGGTTGGATGGATATTGAGAAAATAAAAATCAAGAGATAGATTGGGGTCCCTGGAGCAGGAGTCCCCTCCTGTCTCACCCCCGTGGGTTTACAATAGGGTCAGAGGCTACGAACACAGTTCCTAAGCTTCTAATCTTTAAAAGCAGACTGGTTTCTATAGACTGAGTGTTTCTGTTTCCCCAAAATTCATATGCTGAAATCTAATCTCTAATGTGAGGGTATTTGGAGGGTAGGGTTTTGGGAAGGGGCTTAGGTTTTAACTACCTGGCCCTCATCAGTGGTATTCATGCCTCTATAAAAGAGACCCCATTTTCTCCACGCATGGAGAAAATAGCCATCTATGAGTTAGGAAGAGGGCTGTTACCAGACACTAAATCTGATAGCACCTTTATCTTGGACTTCCCAGCCTCCAGAGCTGTGAGAAATACATTTCTATTATTTATAAGCCACCTAGTCTGTAGTATTCTGATACAGTAGCCTGAGCAGGCCAAGACACTCATTTTCTGCAAGTCGTGTTTTTAAAACGTACTCAGAGTTGGTGCCTTTGGTTTTAGTGGTTATTCTAATTTCTTTCTTTCTTTTTAAGAATTTTTGGACATTCCCTAAAACCATCTTTTCTACAACCAACCTTAGGCTTCTAATAGAGCATGTCCTCACTGAGCCATAGTGCACTTCTTAACTTCAGATCTCAATCGGCATCCGAATCCCAGATATCCTTACTGAGGAATTGCAAAATGTTAAACCAGCCTAACTTCTGCCTTTCCACTTATAGGAAAACAGGCTTTTCTACCTAGTAGTTTTTTTTTCCTTAAACAACTACTCTTACTTTATTTTCCTACAGATGTGGGAGGCTTATACAGATCTCCTCATTTCCTTTGAGGGTTTGTTCAAAGAATCCCAAACTGAGATCTATTGGCTTTGTCTTCCCAGCACTTGGCTACCTTCAGAAAAGACTGACTTTTCTAGAGCTAGTGAAGGATTAATATGTATATTTTTGAAATCTGGGGAACTATCACCAAGTTCACAAATGAAAACACATGTGAAAATACTTTGGAAACTATTAAGTTTTATATAATTCCTGTCATCAGTATTATACCTATTCCCCAAAGAATTCAAGAAGTATATTGGATGAAATGCACAATGCAGCAGGTGGGAAGCACTAAGTAATTACCTGAGGCTATCTTGTGTCTATAGTGTTGCAAATCAGAACTACATTCACTCAAATAGAATTTGATGAGCATCTGCTTGTGTCAGGCTTTTTCTATTCCGGAGAACCATCAGTGAACAGTGGTGAAAATTTTTTTGGCCTTTTGTATATGGTGAGAGAAAAGGGGCAAAATTTTACATTTAAAACAATTTCACACAGAGTAGGAGAAATATCGTATGACATCCCTTATATGCAGAATCTAAAAAAGAAGTGATAAAAGTGAACTTATTTACGAAACAGACTCACAGACATAGAGAATGAAGCAGGGGGAAAGGATAGAAAGGGAGTTTGGAATCGACATGTACACACTGCTATATTTAAGATATTAACAGATAACCAACCAGGACCTACCTACTTTATAGTACAAGAAATTCTGCTCAATATTTTGTAGCAGCTTGGATGAGAGGGGATTTGGGGGGAGAATGGATATGTGAATATGAATGGTTGAGCCCCTTTGCTATCTACCTGAAACTATCACATTTGGCTATATAATCAGCTATACTTCAATATAAAATAAAAAGTTATAAAAATAGGTTCACACAGACTTAGGAGAATACTCTCCTGGTCCTAGAATTTCATAGGTATGAGTGTGATGTCAGGTATGGGATAAGCCCACAAGTGGTCTGGAGGGCATTACTACCTCGAACAGGCTCACTGTGGCTTCTGCCTCTAGAAAGTCACCAAATGTTGATGGCATGCATGATGCCTGTCTTGAGTAGTCATTGGAAGGACTGATGTTGAAGCTGAAGCTCCAAAACTTTGGCCACCTGATGCTCTTGCCAACTCATTAGAAAAGACCCCAATGCTGGGAAAGACTGAAGGCAGGAGAAGGGGGGACGACAGAGAACGAAATGGTTGGATGGCATCACCGACTCAATGGACGCAAGTCTGAGCAAGCTCGGGGAGATGAAGGACACGGAAGCCCGTTGTGCTGCAGTCCATGGCGTAGTAGAGTCGGACAAGACTGAGCGACTGAACACTACGCCTGTGGATTGCTCTTCGTGCTTGTCTGTGTTAGGAGGTTCCTGAAAGATGGCAAATAAAAGCCAGAGGACTATATTAATTTCCCAACATCAAATCTTGGAATGGGGGTGAATAAACAGCTTAGAACTTGATCCTGCAGGGTTACCAGGTGCTACCGTTGAACAGTGAGAAATGCAGTTCTCAAAAAGGCTTGGTTTGTTGAACACCCTGTAGCCAGCTTCTACCGGATTCATCATTTTCTGGAGTTGTATAAAACAAATTGACTATCAGTTACGTTAAGAGGTCAGCCCACTATTGCTGGATCCTGGGCCACATTGCTTGACTTAACCTAGATATACTCTGCCCCTCCTTGAACCCTGTACAGTTTAATCAGTAATTGATTAGAACTTGTCCCTCCAAGCACAGTACATACATAGGACAGTCAATCAGAGCTCTGCATCCTGAGGCTACTGGGGGAGGTAGTTGTTCTCGGCTCTGATACTCAGGTTGGCAGTTTTGCTGACTTGTGAGATCTTTACACTGGAGAATTCAGACAGGGCCCAGGTGGTCTTACGGGTGGGGACACTCTTGCTCTTATTATAAGTTTTAAAAAATACCTTTCACAAAATTACCACGGCGTGATCAGCCTTGGCAAGTACGTCTCATACCTGTATTGTGATTATGTAGATCCTGGATAAAATTTCCCTGCTTTAGGAAAAGCTATCCTTGTGCAACAGCTGTTCTCAGTGAAGACGGAAGTGGCTCTTAAAAGAGCCTTTGGGAGAAGCTAATGCCCACAAACCTGTTAAGGACAATTTATGCCCTCTCCCCGCGGATGCGGCGAGCAAGTTGGATGTCCTTGGGCATGATGGTGACGCGCTTGGCGTGGATGGCACACAGGTTAGTGTCCTCGAACAGCCCCACCAGGTAGGCCTCGCACGCCTCCTGCAGCGCCATCACGGCCGAGCTCTGGAAGCGCAGGTCGGTCTTGAAGTCCTGCGCGATCTCACGCACCAGCCGCTGGAACGGCAGCTTGCGGATCAGCAGCTCTGTAGACTTCTGATAACGGCGGATCTCGCGCAGAGCTACTGTGCCGGGGCGGTAGCGGTGCGGCTTCTTCACGCCGCCAGTGGCCGGCGCGCTCTTGCGGGCCGCCTTGGTGGCGAGCTGTTTGCGAGGAGCCTTGCCACCGGTGGACTTGCGAGCCGTCTGCTTTGTGCGAGCCATAACTTCGAAAGTAGTGTCGCGGAAGCAGCAACTGAACGACCGCTTCCAGGTCGAGACTTTATACAGATGATCCGATCCTGATTGGCCAGACTTTGCTGGAGTAACCTGATTGGTTAAAAACCGATTTTCATTTGGATCTTGCTGCTGCTAAGGGGCTAAGTCACTTCAGTCGTGTCCGACTCTGTGCGACCCAATAGACAGCTACCCACCAGGCTCCCCCGTCCCTGGGATTCTCCAGGCAAGAATACTGAAGTGGGTTGCCATTTCCTTCTCCATTGCATGAAAGTGAAAAATGAAAGTGAAGTCGCTCAGTCGTCTCCGACTCTTAGCGACGCCATGGACTGCGGAGCTTACCAGGCCCCTCCGTCCGTGGGATTTTCCAGGGAGGAGTACTGGAGTGGGGTGCCATTGCCTGAAAAGGTTTTGTTTTCTGTCCTCTTACCTTGTGTTTTGTATTTTCGCAGGGAAGAATTATGACTGCACTGTATCTTGTCTGAGTTTTTGGTTTTCGACTGAAATATTGATTTCACTAGTAAAAAAGGAATTTGGTCCAGAATTTTTGGAAGTCAGGAACTAAGTTGTTCTAAAAGAAATGCATTTTCATTGGGGTCTTTTTCTCTTTTCAGATAATATGGGGGGAAATTACAGCAAAGTATTTGCTAGTCTCTAAAAAACTAGTTGACTTCATAACTGAATCAAGATCTACATTTCATGTTTGTATCAAGACCTAAAATAAAGTTTCAAAATAGACTGGCACACTGGTCCTGTGAAGACACTTTTGCCCAACGTGGTGTAGGGAAGAGGGCGGGGGCCCTGCTGTGTGCTTGAATACTAGTAAGTGGCTATCTAACTTGATTAATTTATTTTGATGCGAATAATTGGACTTCAATATGTAAACTGTGTACTGACCAAAGTCCTGGAGGGACACCAAGTTTACACTGATCAAGTAATTAGGGTTTTTTTTTTTTGCAAAGAGGTAACCCTAAAAAAAAAAAAATGAAGTTTTAACTATTGGACCATTGGGTTCTAATGATAAAGACCCAGAAACAAAATTGGTTTAATGCTGGAATAATCGTCGGAAATGTGTCCCTGGGGAGAGAATAAAGGCTGGCAGTGTCATGGTTTTACAGTGGAGTAAACTGAGAATTGGTCTTTACCAATGTTGATGCATGTTCAGTCAATATGGGGACTACATATTCCATGTACAGTACTGTAATCTTAGCCAGGCATGACAGGTTTCAAGAGAGTGCTCAGTTCTTCCACAGAAGTTATGGGTGGCTCTGAAAAGAGCCTTTGTTCTTATAAGTTGGAGTATGAATTCAGACCTTATTTGCCTTTCGCTTTGTGGTGGCTCTCAGTCTTCTTGGGCAGCAGCACCGCCTGGATGTTGGGCAGGACACCACCTTGGGCGATGGTGACTTTGCCCAGCAGCTTGTTGAGCTCCTCGTCGTTGCGGATGGCCAGCTGCAGGTGGCGCGGGATGATGCGCGTCTTCTTGTTGTCCCGGGCCGCGTTGCCCGCCAGCTCCAGGATCTCGGCCGTCAGGTACTCCAGCACCGCCGCCAGGTACACCGGGGCCCCGGCCCCGACCCGCTCAGCGTAGTTCCCCTTACGGAGAAGACGGTGCACTCGACCCACGGGGAACTGGAGACCGGCCCGGGAAGAGCGGGTCTTGGCCTTGGCGCGAGCTTTGCCGCCTTGCTTGCCACGTCCAGACATTGTGCAGTATTCAGAAGCTACACCAGAAACGACTAAAGCGAAGGAACTCACAATTTATAGCCACAGGGAGCGCGAAAAAGCAGCCATCCCATTGGCCAAAGTTGTCTTCCCATTTTAAACAAGACAAACGCAATTTCTTACAACGCGTGCTCTTATTGGACAATGTTTTAGTGACGTCATCATTAGTATTCACCAATCAGACAGATAAGTTTACTAAGACTTATTTGCATATGGACTTGTGACTATAAAAGGGACTCCATTCTCTGTTTCTCAGAGGTTTTGTAGTTCTTGTCAGCATGCCTGAACCAGCCAAGAGTGCTCCTGCCCCGAAGAAGGGGTCTAAGAAGGCGGTGACCAAGGCGCAGAAGAAGGACGGCAAGAAGCGCAAGCGCAGCCGCAAGGAGAGCTACTCCGTGTACGTGTACAAGGTGCTGAAGCAGGTCCACCCGGACACCGGCATCTCGTCCAAGGCCATGGGCATCATGAACTCCTTCGTCAACGACATATTCGAGCGTATCGCGGGCGAGGCGTCGCGCCTGGCGCATTACAACAAGCGCTCGACCATCACATCCAGGGAGATCCAGACGGCCGTGCGCCTGCTGCTGCCCGGGGAGCTGGCCAAACACGCGGTGTCCGAGGGCACCAAGGCCGTCACCAAGTACACCAGCTCCAAGTGAGCCGGCCCGCCACCCTACATAACCCAAAGGCTCTTTTCAGAGCCACCTACACTTTCAGAGAAATAGCTGGTGCACTTGATTGTGGTCTGGTTTCACTCAGGTTACGCAGCTGGTTTGATGACGGAAAACGCCGTAAAATTTTTTACAGCTCTCAACAAGCAGTCTTGAAATGGCAACCCACTCCAGTACTCTTGCCTGGAAAATCCCATGGACAGAGAAGCCTGGTAGGCTACAGTCCATGGGGTCGCAGAGTCGGACTGATTGAGCGACTTTACTTACTTATTTGGCCCCCACTGAAAAGGATTTACAGTTTTGCCCTACAGCAACCAAAAATTTTTTTCAAAGCGAGTAACGCCCCCCATATCTGATTGGGCAGCAGTAGTATTTGAAAAGCCCGCCGTGTGTTGCAATTGGCCTGATACTCTGCCAACAATTTTGCGCGTTTTGTAGAGATTTTCTCGAAAGTAAATTACTAGCTTTGTCCTGGGGAATGCACAAGGCTCTGGAGCCTAGAGCCATAAAACTGAAAATTAACGGTTCTGTGTTCTGCAGTCGGATCCTGGGCGAAATTGCCTCTTTGTTTCTATTTCCTATCCTCTACAGAATAGGTACGGCAACATTAGCCCTGTCTGCGAAGATCTTAGGGTGAGTTTAAATGATTTATGTCATAGTGCTATGGGAATATTAAAGGTCCGGGAGGGTACTTAAAGAGAAAATGTTGAACAAGAAACCCAGCAGCTTGGGAAAGCCGCGTTCTTACAATGTTTAATCAGGATGCAACGGAAGGGAGACATCCAGGACTCATTTGGCCGGGGGAGCAGCTTTCTGGTAGTGTCTTGAGTCCACAATTAAAAATCCCGCGAAAGAAGTCAGAGAACTCAGTATTAAAGAGAAGGGCATGTTTATTTAACGCATGGGCTAATTAGGATTATTACGGAATGGAATTTCTCCAGGCATGATCGCAAGTCCTTCAATTCCCCATTCCTCTGCATCTTTCAGTGGTGCCTAAATTCTTTTCAGTTGGAATCATTAACATCTTCCGCTACCCTGGCATCCCCTTTCACCAACAAATGATTGCTTTTGTAATTCTTTTTTTTCCCCTCCCCATTAACAGCAAAATAAGCCCCTACACCCATATCCCCAATTAAGGCTGCAACATTTCGTGTTTTTCCCTTTGTTGCTTCCCTTAAAGTTGGGGATATGGACCTATCTCAGATGAACAGTTTTGTCCCTGTCACAGGCAACAAGTCTTCTGCAAGTCATGCCAACGTGTCAATGAGTCCTGCAAAATATACGAGTTTGTCATTCGCCCCTCTCTTTCCAGTACCTGCGCCCCTGTCCCTAGGTCTTGGAAGCTGGCAAGAGCAGTCCCCTGATTTCATCCTGAACCCATCGACTTCCTATTCATCGCCTCTATTATTTACTCTTTCTGAAATTTTTTTCCTTCCACTTTAAGGGATCTGAGGGAGAATTACCTTCTGTGGGTGATATAAGTATTGCCCTCTTCTGCCATCTTGTGGCAAGAAAATAGAAAGAGATTAAAGGCCTTGGGTTTTCCAGATTCAGTTGAAATTCTTCGACTTTTTACTGACAGTAAGTTGGAATAAGTAAAGTGATCATTTCTGTCTCCGTTTAATCACTGGATTTAAGTTAGCTTCCCCAGAAGTCACTTGTGGGCATGAGAGAGAGGGAGAGAGGTATTGTTTTGTGGCCTGGTCAGAGCCGTCCAAATAAAAAGAAGTCAAAAATCAAATATTCTGTACCCTAAAATAAATAAAACAAGAGGGTCATGGACACACTAGTTATGGTCCTCAAACGGTAAATTTTGAATATTTTCTGTAAATCTAAACACCTGACAAAATCCTGATTTTTGCTGGGAGGGAGCATGAATTTTCCACTTTGAGAAGATGCTCAATCTATGATTACAATATCCAAGAACAGTCTTAAAATTTATTCTTAAATAGAACCCAGAAGAAAACAGTGAATTGTTTCATCTTTCTTGACAAATGTTTTCCTTTAGATAAATCACATGTGCCTCTGGTGATCTGTGAGATTAGAAAACTTGCTACTGAGGATAGTATTTTAAGAACCATCTCAGATGGAGATTGTATTTGCCATGGGCATCAGTGTAAGCAGATTGAAAATGAAATGAGATCTCACCTGGCACCTGAAATGAATATAGTGATTCTATACAGTTATAGGACTTTAATGTGGAAAAAAATACAGTTGATAAAAGGGCTTTAATGACAGGATTTCTAAAGCATCTGTTGCCAAGTTGACAAAGAAGTTGCCTTTACAATTTATTATTAGTTAATTAATCTAGTTTTCTGTACCAGATCTTAGCTGAGGCCCCCAGGATCTTCAATCTTTGTTGCAACATGTGGGATCTAGCCCCCTGATCAGGGATGGAAGCCTGGCGCTGTGTTGGGAGCATGTTGTCTTAGCCACTGGACCACCAAGGAATTCACTTTAGAACCAAGTGAAAATCAAATATGACCCTTTGGCCTTCCATTTCAGACATTTATGTAGATATTAGGTATTCTCATGTTTGGCTATAGATTGTTGCATAGAAATAGGCATAATCAATGGTATTATAAAGAAAAGCCTTTCATGAAGATACGTTGTCAATGCTTTTGAATAAGCATTGTGTTATTTAAATAAAAACTTCATAATATGACTTGTTCTCAGGCTCTTGGTAAATAAAAATTATTCATCCAAAGAAAAAACGGGAAGTTGGGGGAATAGGAGATATGCATATCAAAATCACAATAGAGTTACCCTAAGAAAAGGGATGTTGGGGTTGGGGATGTAGCTGAAGGGTGCTTCAATTTTATGTGTTGTTGTTTTCTTTAAATATAAAGGATATTTGCAGTGAATATATCATAATGTCAAACAGTAGATAGATTTTGTGTGGTCATTTTTGTACCCTTGTAGTTTTTTAAAAGGTGAAAAATAACAATATATAGTATTGTTTGGTGTATTAGAAATTGTAGCTATTCGAGTAGTTAACAAACAAACAGTGCCTAAGATGTGACAGGCCATGGTCTAGATACTACGGCAATCACAGGGGGACAAAATACTGAATGAATAAAGTAAAATATACCTTTATGCTACATAGGGATGGGTTAAGGAAAAAAGAGCAGCGGGGAGGGATTTTTGAGAATTGTTATTTTAAATAAATTCCAACTCTCTTTAACCAAATTTCTGAAACTGAAATTAGCTATACATGGTTTTATTTAGCTCTAAATTTAAGTTCTTGTTTACAGTACGATAGTAGGTAAAGATGGGTTAACACTAATTCTCTGCTCTCTGAGATACGGCACCTGACATTAAAGCTTTTCTGATTTGTGAATTATTTTCGTCTCAAAATTTTCTTGGAATAAAAATTTACTCCTGGATTACCCACGTTTTCATTAGGTATAGAAAGACGGCAACAGGGTTGCTAACAGTCTTTCATTTCTTCGCACCGCCGCCGGCCCACCACCACTACTCCCCCCCACCCCCGGGAAAAATACAAAAGGCCTAGCAGAGGATGGTTTCGATCCATCGACCTCTGGGTTATGGGCCCAGCACGCTTCCGCTGCGCCACTCTGCTTAACACGGTATTAAACGTTCAAAGTAATCCCTTTATACATTTTACATAAAGGGCTTTTTTTCTTTTTCTTTTTTTTTAGGAACTGGGGAGATTTTTCTTTCAAAGCCCATTCGTTGATTTTACTTATGCTACAAACAAAAGAATGAATCCAAAACAGATTGATTTTATATATTCTGAAGGCAGAAAATTGGATGTTTCTGTTAGGAAAACAGCCAGTCCCCAACCCGTCTGCCCCTCTCACCTGGCAGAAGTGATTGCGGGTGTTACGGTCACAAACTATATGAATAGGTCAAAATCCGATAATAGAAAATGTCCGAGCTCAAAACCAGATCATTTTCAAAATTAGAATGATAAGGAAAAAAACGGAAACAGCCTTGCATTGGCCGGGAATCGAACCCGGGCCTCCCGCGTGGCAGGCGAGAATTCTACCACTGAACCACCAATGCTTGCGGGTTCACGTTTTGCTCATCTTCTAAATGACATTTACTTTTTTCACTCGCTGCATTGAAACTATATATTAGGTTTAGTTTTTTGTTTTTACTGAATAGAACTTTGTAATGTTTCCTCTTCCCTTCTTTTTAGGAAACCCTCCTTTCCACTGCAAGTTAAGAGCGTCCCTCTGCGACATCGGAGGCTGGTCTGGGTGTGAGTGACTCAATCCTGGACGTGCCCTGGCGGAGGGTGGCCCCTGTACCACCTTGAGAGGTGCGGGAAACTCTGTGTGTGTGTGTGTGTGTGTGTACGTGTGTGTGTGGAGGAGCGTGTGTGTGTGTGTGTGTGTGTGTGTGTGTGGAGGAGCGTGTGGAGGAACGTCCGGGCGGAAACTCTGTGTGTGTGTGTGTGTGTAGAGGAGCGTGTGGAGGAACGTCCGGGCGGTTCCAGGAGGAAGCGAATCTGAGAAGAGGAAGGGAAGAGGGTCAGAGCAAAAGGAGGAAGATGGGGAGGAATGAGAGGGAAGAGGGAAAGAAAGGAGCCTAGTGCTGTTCCCTTCTGGTCATCCCAAAGGAGAGGCAGTGGGGGTTTCAGGAATTCTGTGGGTTTACCTTAAGCTCCGGTTGCTATGGTTATGGAAGTGGCACTAGAAACTCCTTCCAGTCAAATAGGGAATAAAAGTCTATTAAAGAGTGTTTGTGTGTGCAGCTCAGTCATGTCTGACTCTGTGACCCCATGAACTGTAGCCCACCAGGCTCCTCTGATTTTCCAAGCAAGAATACCCGAATGGGTTGCCATTTTCTTCTCCAGGGGATCTTGCCAACTCAAGGATCGAACTTTCATCTCTTGAGTCTCCGGCATTGGCAGACTGGTTCTTTACCGCCCACCTGAGAAGACTACTTAAAGGTTAATTTTCCTCAAAAATATACAATTGTGACTCTCGTACAAGTGTAAAAATGAACCCCTTTGAAAAGATTTTAACTCTTTAATGAGATAACTGGTGAGGTGTTCTC